CCATGCCCATGTATATCATCTTCCTCTTTCACATTCTTGATGATGACTTGAAAATGTTGAAATCACCTTTTTTGTACTTTCCTATAGCATGAGCAGCATTCTCATGTTAACGAATAGCTCATAATGTGAATTTTAGAAACTGCTAACAGTGTGCAGTTGCCAGTTTCCCATATTTATGGAATTAGTGTTGAGATAACAGGGCTAAGAAATCACTATGTGAGTTTTAGCCTACAGGTAATGCCTTAGTATTACTTAGAGAAAAGATTTGTCATTTATATTTAAAATAAATGTTAATGAATGTTTGGAAGAAAAAAAATCAGGGATGGCTCTTTGCCATGGGTCTCATTTTGCCCACTTTTCTGTAAGAAAAAATAATGATGTCTTATGTATTTTTTCATTTGTATTATATGGTTTGTAAGTAATCCCAATTTTAATAAAGTTTTATAGACTATATAGTGGTCTCTCTTAATGAACTTACAGTCTTCTTGTTTGGATTTGATGTGTCTGCGTAATCAGCAATTTACTCCTCAGTGTTCATACCATTAGTTTCCCTTTGCTTTTTAACCATCCTCCCCCATCCTGAGTCTTTCTGCTTCCATCATTGTCACCCTTCCCAGGTGACAGATCTCTAAGGGACATTTTTTTTTTCATTTTAGTTGTCAATGGACCTCTATTTATTTATATGCGGTGCTGAGAATTGAACCCAGTGCCTCGCACATGGTAGGCAAGCAAGCGCTCTACCACTGAGTTACAAAGAACATTCTTGTGTAAGTAGCAGGTTGTACTACTGTGCAGTCTCTTAAAAAAACAAAGTAAAGGTTACTCCTTGTCCAGAGAACTACTCTGTGCTTTAGTTCTTTATTTATAGTATAAAGTATCTCATGTTTTTCCACTAGGATTGTTGGGGAGACCTGTGGGTTCAGTGGATCCAGCTATGGGATGCCTGCCAAGAGATGTGTGAATGGTGAAAGAAGACGCAGCGCTGTTGTAATAGGGGCCATGGAATAAAAACTTCAATTATGTCTAGGCCCCCTTCTGTAGTAGGAGTCTGGGGTCTTCCGTTTTCTTTTTGGTATTATCTATTTTCTTCATTCTGAGAATTCTTTATGGCATTTGTATTAATTCTGTACTTATCTTCTCTCTTTTTCCTTAGACTACATGGAAATCCATTGTCCATATTTTTTAAAAGAGAAAATTGGCAAAATAAGAAAATAGGATACAGACTAAATTTATGTAGATGAATGCACACTGATGACACCCTTTCTCCTTTCCCTTCCATACTAACTAGGTAACTAAGAGACATAAGCGATCATTAATGGTTTAGTTAATAAAAATTTGAAGCATAATTTCTAGATGGCTACATCACAGAGCTTTAGTGAAGATAGAAAAAGACCAGGATGCATAAAGCAGCCCTTAAACTTTTGACATGCATAGGAATCATTTGGGGAAACTTATTAAAATGCAAATTCTGATTCACTATGTTTGTCTGAATTCACTATGTTTATCTGTGCCCCAAATTCTGCATTTCTAATCAGGTTCTGGGTGGTCTAGATGCTGCTGGTCTGTGGACCTCACTTTGTCTAGCAAGGATGTTAAGTACTTGGATTGATGCCTGACACAAAACAAGTATTACTAATTGACATCAGATAACTTATGAGAACCAAAATATTTTGCCAATCATATCTTAAAACTTTAGGTATTTTTATTGCATAACTACTACCAAATATTTTGCCCATCATATCTTAAAACTTAAGGTATTTTTATTGTATAACATCTTTGAAAAAGTTTATATCTCAGAATTATTGAGTGAATTGGTTTAAATCAGATTGCTGCCCTTCCAGCTTTATTAGAAATCCACAAGATAGGGTTTGGAATTGTTTCTTCTTTGTTTGCTTTTTATTTTTTATTTTTTGCCAGCTTTATTGAAGTATAATTTATTATATAATAAAATTTATCTGTTTCAGATATGGTTTTGCTGAATTTTGACAGGGTCAGTTGTATAACAACTACCACAATCATGATATAGAATGTTCCACCACTCCAAAAAGTTTCCTCATGCCTATTACATGGATCAGACCTTTTTTCCCCTGGTGCTAGGAGAACCTAGGGCCTACCAAATGCTAAGGGAGTACTCTACCAAAGAGCTATTCCAGATTGGACATTTTAATGGGGCAAAGTAGGGTGGTTTAGGACTCAGTAGAAGAATAAGCTAATAAGTTCCATTTGCTTCAGTTTTGTCTAGAAAGAGATTACAATGCTATATCCCTCTGTACCTCCTACCTTAGGACGTGTTTTGATAGATGAATAGATCTTGAAATCCCTGCAGACTTGGGTGTGTTTCTTTGTACCTTGCTAATTTAGGGTGACCTACATGTTCCATTTTACCCAGGACTTTGATACCCAAATTCATACCTCCAGGTGGGTGGGACCTATCATGTTTCCTAGGCAGACTAGCATACTTGGTTGCTATGGCTGTGGTGTTCATACCATTGTTTTAAAACCCAAGGTTGCCATTTCATTTTATAGTCACTTCTCTCCTAAGATCACATAGTAAACACTCAAATAAATGAATGGGTAGTACACAGTTACATCCCAAGTGACTGTAGATTCCTGGCCAAGAGAACATGAGATCTGGGTTTAGTACTTGGTCAGATTTGCAGTGGTGTGGCTCTGGAAAAATAATTTTCTCACTCTAGGTTTGTTTCCTCCACTAAAAAATGGGATCTTTAGTCACTTCTGCCTCCGATCCTGTGGTAATGCTCCACTTTAACAGCGATAATGTTTTTAACTCACTTCCACTCAGCTTTCTCTTTCTTTTTTCCTTGCTTTTCCCCCACTTCAAGTAGATACAGTGGATCAATAAATTATGTAAGGGCAGGTTGATAATGGAACTGCTGATGGCCCAGGCTTCTGCAGAGTGTGTCTGTGAGAGCAATAGAATTTGGACCTTGAACCAAGTAGCCATGGCTGGGAGTTGGAGAATCAAGTCTCTATCTTTAGTTAAGTGTGTGTAATTACCCAATTTGCTCTTTGTGCATGCCTGGGAGAGAGGATGGCAAGCAGAAGAGGCCTGCTGTTTAGGAATTTTCTGGTAGATGAGAGGGTGCTTGGGAAACTGGGTTTGATAGGCTTTTTATCTATCAGAGGGAGCTACTTTCTGCTAGGCTAATGCGCAGGAAACACCATCTCAGAGTCTTATTCAGTTCCTAGATCTGAAGAAGGATTAAAATTACAAACATCATGGGCTGGGGCTGCAGCTCAGTGGCAGAGCACTTGCCTAGCATATATGAGGAACTGGGTTTGATCCTTAGCACCACATGAAAATAAACAAAGGCATTCTGTCCATCTACAAATAAAAAAAAAAATCACAAACATCAGATGTGAACTACACTTTGGGATAGATTTAGGACGGTGCATTCTGTTCCTGGATCTGACATGTGTAACTGTGGACTAATATTTCTGAGCTCCGTGTTTGCCTTTTGAATGGAGAGTCTGCATTGCCTTATCATAGGGTGGGGCTACGCAGAAGAGATAGTCGGGAGTTCAGTGAAACTGTGATGTCCACACAAATGTGAGATATTACTACTGTGAATTATAATATTTGAATCTTTTCTTTGTGACGAGTTCTGATTCACAGGCAGAGGAAACTAGAGAAAGATTTGGGAATTTTGTCTGCTTAACTCCCCAAATAATATCATGAATAACCTATGACTCCCTCCCTATAAAATAGGAAAGGGAGGCTGGAGGGAAGTACTTTCTTTGCTAGGAAGATATTCCAGCCTGCCTTCCTCCTTGGCACAATTCCTGACTTCTCCTTGGAAAACCTTTCCCTTGACTATGAATTTCATTTTTCCTACTTTCACTTCCAAATTTTGGAGACAGAGGATGGAGCAAGAACTCTCAATGAAATCCAGCCAGGTGAGACTGAGCATGGCAGACCTGCAAGGGTTAAGTGAGCCACACCCTAAGCAGGAAAAGCCTCGGACTTTGTGCTGAGCAGCCATCTCTCCCAGCCCCTCCTGGCTTGACTGGCATAGGGAACCTGGACTAAAGGAAGCAGCACAAAGGAAGGTCAGAAGAGTGGACATTAGAAAAAGATCAACCACTTTCCTGGCTTTCTGACACCATGGACAGCTCCTGTTAATTGAGATACCTCTCCACCCTTGGCACCTGGGACTCCTGCCTGCTTCTTGTCAAATTGGGGTTTCATTCACCATTCTCCAAGGGACGCTGAATTACACCAGTGTGGTAAGTCCTGCCTTGACTCGTCACTGCTCCTCTTTCACACCTTGGGGTGCCCCACTTGAGGCCTTCTTCCTTTTCCCTTTTCTATCTCCAACTAATTAAATTCCCACTCCTCTCAAATTCAAACCCAAAGAAAATGCCTCTTTCTAACCCACCTTCTGCTTCTCACCCTTCCATGTTACTTCAAAGATTCAGCGTTTTTTGTTTTTGTTTTGTTGTTGTTGCAGTACTGGGGATTGAACCCAGGGCTTTGTGTGTGGTAGGCAAGTTCTCTACCACTGATCTACACCGTAGCCCAGCCCCTTTTTCTTTTTAATCTGGAAAATCTGAGATAACCATAGTATCATCAGGATACTCTAAGCACCAAATCAATTAGTATTTGCATAGTGTTTAGAGCCCAGCCTGGCCCATGGTAAATGCTGCATGATTTCTGGAGACTGCTTTTATCAGTATTCTTATTGCCTCCTTAGGTGTGTCTAGGAAGTTACTGGAGCTTAGGGGAAGCAGGTTGAGGAAAGAAGAAAGCCCCATCCCTTCTTGCCCCACCTTTCATTTCTCTCCCTCTCCTCCCCTCCCCCATTCAGGTTCTAAGATACAGGAGAGTGGGAGAATGTGTCTCTCTTATTCCTATTTGGGAGTGGCATTGACCATTGTACAAACACTGCTGTCCTGTACAAGGCCACCCCGCCTACTCAGTTCCACAGGAAAGATTGAAGAGGGCTGGGCTTCCTCCTGAGAGAATACCTGTCATGCCATGTGTCTACTGCATGGGGGCCCAGCCCCCACTCTCCCTGTAGCTTACCTCCTTGCCCACCTACCAGCTACTGAAAAGCTGGGTGTGTCCTTCTGGACAAAGTCCATGCCAGAAGTTTACAGGAATGGGTGTAAAAACTGGAGATGGAAAAATAGAGGACATCTAGAGGCCTGACAGCTATTTATTAATTGGGGAAGCAAACTCTACTCTCATTTTTTATAGGGAATTCCAGTTTGTTTGATTTTGGTACTGGGGATTGACCCAGGAGCTTTTATTTTTTGAGATAGTGTCTTGCTAAGTTGCTGAGGCTGGCCTTGAATTTGAGATCCTCCTACTGTAGCCTCCTGAGTTGCTGGTATTAGAGGCCTGTGCTACTGTACCTGTAAGAATTCCAATATTTTTCAGAGTACTCCTGCCTCTGTTCTCTAATTCATTGCCTGCTTGACTTGCCATTTAAAGTTGAAGCTCAGTGAGGCATAGTGGCACATGCCTGTAATCCCAGCAACTCGGGGTAGCTGAGGCAGGAGCATTGCAAGTTTGAAGCCAGCCTGGGAAATTCATTGAGACCCTATGTCAAAGTAAAATTTAAAAAGGGGGTTGGGAATGTAGTTCAGAGATAAACTGTTTGCCTAACATGTGTGAGGCCCTAGATTCAATCCCTAGTACCACAAAAAAATATAATAATAAATAAAAATGAAGCTGGTTGTAACAATGGCAGGGGAGGAGAGACCTCTGGAAGAGCTCCTGAATTACTTATATGGGGTTGGCTGACTGGAATAGGGGCTTGGAGAAGTAGGGGATTGAGCAGAGTCGGGGTGCTGGCTAGGGCCTCAGAGCAGGAGGGAGGGAGCTTTCCCTACCTGGCTGTGGCTTAACCCTCTCCTCCTCAGCCCTCTCTCCTTCCAGCACAACTCTGCTCCCTCATCGCTGGCAGCTCTTCTTCCCCAGGTGATCAGAGGCGGGTTGTTCTGTCCTTTCCACCTCAGGAGCAGAGGGTTCCCCCTACATCCCACAGAGAATGTTGGCCTTCCTGGTTGGCCCAAAAGCCCTTTTAGATAGGGATTCTTCTGGACAGGGGGAAAGGAAAGCTCCCAGGTCCTTCTGCCCTCTTCCCTTCATGTGGCCTCTTAAGCTAAGTAGACATCAACAAATTGCCCTTTTATTCCTAGGATCCACAGCTCCTCCGGACATGCCTATCCTAGAAGGTACCATTGGCGTGGAGGACCTTGTCCTCCTGGAACCCCTGGAGGAGGAGTCTCTGCTCAAGAACCTTCAGCTTCGTTATGAGAACAAGGAGATTTATGTTAGTTTTCTGTGGGTGCCCTGGCTGAGGGTGTGTTGGAGAGTTCATGTTTCCCATCCCTTACCCACCCACCTCATTCCCTTCACCTTCTTCCTGGTTCCAGACCTACATTGGGAACGTGGTGATCTCAGTGAACCCCTACCAACAGCTGCCCATCTATGGCCCGGAGTTCATTGCCAAGTACCAGGACTATACCTTCTATGAGTTAAAGCCCCATATGTGAGTAGAGGGACCCAGGGAAGACTGACAAGTTCCCAGCTTTGTGGCAATCCCCTAAAGAGGATTCACCAGCTACCGCCTTCTCCCCTGGCCCTCTGGAGGCTCCTTCCTAGGCCTATTGTTTCTTATCTGATCTGACCCATTTGGGGAGGGTGAATAAGCATAGTGCTAGGGACTGAGTGAAGTTGGTGTCTTGGGTTGGCCTCCCATTAGTCATAGCCCACTTCCTCCCTACCAGCTATGCTTTGGCAAATGTGGCATACCAATCACTGAGGGACCGGGACCTAGACCAGTGTATCCTCATCACAGGCGAGAGTGGAGCTGGGAAGACTGGTGAGGCACCTGGCCAGGAAGCCTTGGAGTCACCTCTGGAACCTCCTCCTTACCTCTTTCCAAGCCAAACCCAGCCCTGTTCCTTCCAACTCAGATTTTGTTCCCACTCTTTCTGACTCCAAGGGGGTGTGAGGTGCTAGGGTGAGGGAAGTTAAGGAGGAAGGTGGGAGGATGGGTTAGTCTTGGGTGGACCCCTGAGTAAGAGTTTCTTCTGGACAGAGGCTAGCAAGCTAGTGATGTCTTATGTGGCTGCCGTCTGTGGGAAAGGGGAGCAAGTGAACTCTGTGAAGGAACAGCTACTTCAGTCAAACCCAGTGCTGGAGGGTGAGCATTCTGGTCTCTGCCCTCTTCATTCCCCCCATTCCCCCAGTCCCCAGCCCCAGAATCCCTCAGACCTAGACCCACTTCCCCAGTGCTCCAAGACCATTTTCTCCTGTTTAGCCTGAAAACTGAGAATGGCATGAGGATTTCTCCTTCCCTTCTCTGGAGTTTTCTCTCCCCTCAGCCACCTCACTTGCCCTCTCTTATCCCTGCAGCATTTGGCAATGCCAAGACCATTCGCAACAACAACTCCTCTCGATTTGTGAGTGAATATGGCCAGCCTGGGAGGAGCAGGTGGGGAATTAAGACAGGGTGGTGAGAGGGAGAGAAGCAAAGTCATTCTCTGGTCTCTCTCTGAAGGGAAAATACATGGATATTGAGTTTGACTTCAAAGGATCTCCTCTTGGCGGCGTCATCACAAACTGTATGTGTCTTCCCCATGTTGTTCACCAACTCTCCTGTCCCTGCCCTGCAGCATCCCTTTCTGCTCATTTACTTCTGTAGGAAGGAAGAGCATTAGACTTCTGGAAACTTCCCAACCATTAGGAGCACCAGGGCTGAGGGCAGAATGAGATGGATGCCGAGGTATTTCCTAGGCCCTCAGGAGTTTTTTTCCTAATTTTCTGCCAGATCTGCTTGAGAAATCCCGAGTGGTGAAGCAGCTCAAAGGGGAAAGGAACTTCCACATTTTCTATCAGCTGCTGGCTGGAGCAGATGCACAACTGTTGAGTAGGTGCCTTCCCCGGACACATGGCAAAGCCAGATCCCCAGGACCCTGTGAACCCTGTGGTGCCCATCCCTTGAGCCCCCAGACCTCTCCTTGTCGGAATTCCCCAGCTGGAACCTTTCCACTCATTGTTGGGAACAAATCCCATGACCCCACTGTTCTCTTCCTTTGCTGCGGATTGATTGCCAGGGATATGCTTTTTGCCTTTTCACTACTCTCATCCCTATGTCCTGCCTGATTCCTCTTTCCCCAAGCTGGCCTGAAATATGGAACAATCACCCCCACCTACCTTCCTTCCTACTTCCAACTTCATGGGCTTATTTATAGTTGGAAAGAAGCTAAGATGTTGTAAGTGTTCAAGAACTTTCAAGGAACTCTAGTTGAAGCTGTCCTGGGCCTACATCAGCCTCACCTAGGACTCTGTCACTGATTTTCTCTTCTTAGATAGTTTAAAGTGGTTTTATACATTCATTCATTCGTTCATTCTTCAGATAACTCTTGAACACCTACTATGATCAGGCATTATGTTAGCCTCTAGGGATACAGAGTTTAGTAAGACATGGGCCCTGTCCTTAAAGAACTTAGTCTTCTAGTTATAGCACGCATGTAAACAGATACATTGCAGTACACTGTGATTGGTGTCAATAGACCTGTATGAATGGCTTTAGGGGATTAAGGTGTAGAGTCCCTTGCCTTGTCCTGGGGAAGAGCCTGGATGCCGGACTGGATGGAGGTGGCTCTGGATGGGCATCACTGTGGGCTCTTTTGGGACTTTGACCCTGCTAGAATTTACCTCCTAATTTCCTCTCTTGCTAGGAGAACCATGAGTTTCTGGTCCCCAGACATCTGTCCCTTTGGTTTCTTATTATTCTCTGCTGGTCCTATGCCTGACTACATTTCCCCTCCTGGAGATCTCTATGGTTCAAGAGTCTCCACAGGTCTTATCCTTCTGATTGGCTTAATAGTCTCAGCCATGTTCGGATTGTCTGAATCATAGGCACTGGAGTCTTCTAGCTTGTTTCCTCACCTGTTAGTTTAAGCTGAGTCTAGATGGAGTCTCCCTGGTGTCATTATCCCTAGGTTTTCTGACTCATTCTTCCTCCAGATGCCCTTCCTTAGCAGGCTCTTGTTTCAAAATTTGTGTGCTAGAGGGAGCTGCCATTAAACTCTAGTTTAAGGCATACTCCCTGATTCTCAGCTTATTTGCAAAAGAGATAATTGACACCTCTCAAGCTTCCTGATTAGAATATCTTAGGTATACAGCTTTGAACATTTAGGTATACAGATTTTAACATTTCCTTGATTCATTTGTTAAAAGAAAAAAAGTTCCTACCTGTCAGCTAGGCATATAGAATATGGAAATGAAAAACACAATCCAAATACACAGGTTGCTCATTTGTGGGAGAGAGAGAAAGAAACCAAAATGCAGCCCATGTGATGTGGGCTAGGATAGAGATTCACTGCAGGGGAACATAAGAGAGCCATATAACTCAACTCCTCAGCCTCAGAATGAATCTTCTAGAAGAGGTGTCATAGTCAGGGAACACACTATCTGCCACTTTGTTGGTGCTTGGTGAACATATAATGAATGAGCAACCTAGGCCAAGGGTGAGTGAGGTTTTGAGCTCCAGGGGTAGAGTAGAAGATAGGTAATTGTCTTCTTCCCTTACCTTCGTCTTCCCAAAGGCACTGAGATTTGAACAGGATGGAGGGTTTGCTTGATTGTTTTCATTGTTTAAAACCCCAAGTGTGGGGAGAAGTGGCAAATGAAGCTTTTCTTTCATAAAAGTTGGGAAAACAACAAGTATGAATACCCAAGCCTTAAATACTACCTAGATCTATCAATATAGGAATTAATAATCCTCAAACAAAGGAGAAAAGGGAAGAGCCTAACACCAAAATGGTCCTTAGGAATAAAGGAATGAATCCAATGAGGGCAAGGACAGTGAGATGACAAGATGTCTAGGCTAGAGGGCTACAGAGAGCCTAGTACTAACCCTCTTCCTCTATGCTGGCCCTCCCAGAGGCCCTGAAGCTCGAGCGGGATACAAGTGCCTATACCTATCTGAATAAGGAAGTGTCCACAGTGGGTGGCATGGATGATGCCTCCAACTTCCAAGATGTACAGGTGGGTGACCAATGTGGGGCAGGTTCAGACTCTTAGTCTGTCCCTTGAGCCCAGGTTCTGGCTTTGAAAAACATGGGATTGGATTGATACCACTAGTTCAGCTTGAATTCTGCTTTCTCCCCAAGAGTGCAATGACAGTGATTGGGTTCTCAGAGGAGGAAATTCGACAAGTGCTAGAGGTGACAGCCCTGGTCCTGAAGCTGGGAAATGTGGAACTGACTGATGAATTCCAGGCCAGTGGAATCCCAGCAAGTGGCATTCGTGATGGGAAAGGTTTGTGCCACCCTGCTAGAGCCCCTATCCTGAATCTCCTACTTTGAGTCCTGTTTAACCATCTCCAGTATAATTGACTTCACCTGATGAATCTCACGCAGCCCACCCCTGAGTTCTCCCCCCAGAGACTCAGTGAGAACTCCCAATGAGGTGGTAAAGTTTAATAGAACTGGTTCCAAGATTTCTCAGTCTCAGTTGCTTCTTATGCAAAATAGGGGTAATCACAACTATTTCAGGAGATATTCATATTAAAGTAGAGGTTGCACACAGAGTGCCTAGATCCCAACACCCACAGTGCCTGCCCCACCCCCATTCCTCCAGGGCCATGTTCTGAATTAGCTATAGTGACTTCCCCAGCAAGACCCAGGGTGTCAGTCTCACAGACAGCTTCACTTATTATCCTCTCCCCAGAGGGAAGCCCCTTCTTTGGCCAGGTTCTATTTCCTCATCACTCCAGGTGTTCAGGAGATTGGGGAGATGGTGGGTTTGAATTCTGAGGAACTTGAGAGAGCTTTGTGCTCAAGGACCATGGAAACAGCCAAGGAAAAGGTGGTCACCGTACTGAATGTCATCCAGGTAAGGACTTTCCTGAAAGGGGCTGCTTTTGAGTCTTTTTTTGTGGCTGCCACACTAACCAAGTTGCCCGTGCTCCCTGCAGGCTCAGTATGCTCGTGATGCTCTGGCTAAGAACATCTATAGCCGCCTCTTCAACTGGATAGTGAATCGAATCAATGAGAGCATCAAAGTGAGTGATGGGCCTCTTCCCTCAATGCCCTCTGCCTGCTGCGGCTTCTTACATTGGCCCCCATCTCCATTCCTTGGTTTCTGAGATGGATGGAAAGAAGATGGGGGAAGGGTACAGCTCCTTTCCATGTGTTGTGGCAACATCACTGGTGTTTGAGTTTGACAGTCTGATTCATCTACTTCCCAGCTATGTGGTCTTTCAATTTCACAAAGATCCTAAGCTATACCCCCAAGCCCAAATAAAGCTGTTTTTAAGCAATTATCTACATGAAAGTACTGTCTACTTAGAAGCTACTACTGAAAGGCAGCAGGTAAGATGAGACTTGAATTTAGGCTGGGGTAATTGCTTTTCCCTTTTGAAATTTGATTTTTTTTTGGGTCTGAAAAATGGGAATAATCATACTTTATAAGGTTATGATAAGCTCATTAAATAAGCTCATTGTAAATGCTCTATAAACATAAGAGATAGTTATTATCCTGAAAGGATTTTAATGTCTTTCTACCTCATATCATGGGAACATCATCCTGGAATCTATTTCTATCTTCCTTTTCTTCCTTCCTCCTCCTCTGCTTATCCTGCAGCTTATGGAGGGAGAAGGAGAATAAGATACTACAGTTCCTTTTCAGCTTGGTCAAACTCATTCTAGTCCTCTTTGCCCCCACTCTGACCCTGTCTGCTCCAGAAGGGCCTGGTCTGGTGTGCTCATAGGGCCTGACCTTAGATTTATCTTTTCTCCTCTTCAGGTAGGCATTGGAGAGAAGAAGAAGGTAATGGGGGTCCTGGATATCTACGGTTTTGAGATATTAGAGGTGAGAGAGTCTCACCCAACCTCAGCAGCCTGCTTCCTGATTACGGAGGGCAGGCTGATGGGGGGATGTGAGAGGATGGAGGTAGGGCTGCAAGGGAGGAAAGGTCTTGGGTGAGCTGATCTCTCTCTTTAACCCTCAGGATAATAGCTTTGAGCAATTTGTGATCAACTACTGCAATGAGAAGCTGCAGCAGGTATTCATAGAATTGACCCTGAAGGAGGAGCAAGAGGAATATAAGAGAGAGGTAAGCTAAGTCTTCTCCCTTCCCTTACTCTTTTTTTTTCCCCTCCCAATACTGGGGATCAAACCCAGGACCGCATGACTACTAGACAAGCACTCCACCACTGAGCTACATCCCCAGTGTCCCCTTACTGTTTTAATTATTTCCAGACATATGCCAGATCTTCCTTTCTTCTTTACCACAACTTCCTCTAAATTATCTCCAGATGGGAACACAAAGGATGAAAAGTTTCTCTTGCACAGCTGAGCATTCAGCATTACTAAGTAGTCCTAATGCTCTGCTCCCATCCTCTGTGATCCCAGCCTCCACTCCAGGCCAGGCCAGGCCAAGCAGCGGATAGATTGATGTAAGGATGTGTCTGTGGAGAGTCCTGACATGAATGAAGTGACAGTTGTGCATGGCCTATGGCAGTCTGTGATCCAGATTTAGAAGGGACATTTCTTTTGGGCTTGGCATCCTCCCACATCCCTTTCTGTGCCTTTCTCCAACATCTCAGAATCCTTTGTTTCCTCTGGGCGCTTGCTGATGTTGCCATCCCCTCATAGCATCCTGATTCCAGACTTCCTCACTGGAAGTGCCCCATGGCTCCAAATTTCCATAACCCTTCCCTGATTCAGTGCAAACTCCTGTTTTCAATGGCAAGGCGTTAGAAAAGTTCTCTGATTGAGCTAATCCATCCCAAAGTGTGAATGGCTGTCTCACTCTTCAAAACCCTCCTAGGGATATTCCTTGTTAATTCTCAAGAATCTGTTGTGGCAGAATTTCAGGCAATATGGTCACAATGTGTGAAAGAGTTTTTGAAGTTGTTTCGTGTATTTTTATTTTAACAATTTAAATTACCAAATAGATAATAATTCCCGTGCTTCAGATTTCAAAAAGCTTAAAAAGGTGTATACACAAAGTCTCCCTGCCATCCTTGTCCCTGGCCTCCTAGTTTCCATCCCGTGCCAGAGGCAAACAAGATGGGCCTCCTTTCAGAGGTTTCTTGCATAGACACAAGCAACATATAAATGTATTTTTCTACAAAAATTGTACAAATGGCAGTAAATATAGTGTTGTGTATCTTGCTATCATCACTTAGCAAGAGATTTTTCCACTTTTTTATACCTACTCAGGATTATAAGGTTATTGTAATTCATTTAACCAGTTAGGGAAGATTTTTTTAGGATGAAGTTGGAGAGAAACTTGATTTAATTTCCTTCTACTTTCTCCAAAGACTTGGAAAAAAAGAAAGGGTTGTGCTCCCTAGCCACATTTGGGAGTGACCTCAGCCTGGGAGAGATTAGGAGCTATCCTGACTGTGGGCCTGAAGCTCAACAATTCCCTAAAGCAGAGAACGATTGTCTTTGAGTCTTTTGCTGTTGTGCCATTTTTGCTTTTTAAAGTTTTATATTTTCCCAAAGTATGGTCTAGATCAGTGGTTCTTAAAGTGTGGTCCTAGACCAGCAACATTAGCATCACCTAGGAACATGTTGGGAATGTAAATTCCTGGGCACCATCTCAGACCTGCTGAATCTGAAACTTGGTTGGGGACCCAGAAATCTGTGTTTAGCAAGCCCTCCAGGTGATTAGGATGAACTCTCAAGTCTGAAAATTACTGATGTAGATCTTAGAAAGTGTTATCAGTTGAGTTTTATTTTTGATGCTAAACTCTTGCTCAAGTGTTCCAGTCTTAGAGTTTATTGTCAGAGCAGAGTAGCCATTACTCTTCCACAGACACATGGATCCCTCCCCACTCCCATACTGGAGTAATCTCTGTCCTGTTCTCCACTCAAAATATTATACTTTTCTCCCATCCTGCACTACCTGCATTGTCTCACCTATTCTTTCAGGTGGCTCTGGTTCCTGCCAATTGTGTGTCCACTCACCCCTCAAATTCTCCACCAACTTGAAGGGACAGGACATAAATAGAACCATACTAAGGACCCTTGGAATTATAGGCTTTTCTGATGGTCCTTTGTAGGATAGGTAAAAGGAAGGTTTTTGGAGACTTGATTTGAATCTGCTCCTACAATTTCTCTCTCCCCTTACCAGGGTATACCATGGACAAAGGTGGAATATTTTGATAATGGCATCATCTGTAACCTCATTGAACATGTGAGTTATCTTTTTCTTACCTCTAGGACCTCCCTTTCCAGAACATCCTTCCCCTGTCTTTCTCTCCACTGTCCCCTTGGTAAGAATAGTAAAGGAGAGCAAAGGCTATGAAGGGCTAGAGCAGGCAATGATGAGAATGTGGACATCTTGAATGATCAGGTCTAGGTTGCACTGATCTTGTTCCCTTGACCCAGAATCAACGAGGCATCCTGGCCATGCTGGATGAGGAGTGCCTGCGGCCTGGGGTGGTCAGTGACTCTACTTTCCTAGCGAAGCTGAACCAGCTCTTCTGCAACCACAGTCACTACGAGAGCAAAGTCACCCAGAATGCCCAGCGCCTGTATGACCACAACATGGGTCTCAGCTGCTTTCGCATCTGCCACTATGCGGGCAAGGTGATATAGCAGAAATGTTGGGTAAAGACTAGGGCCTGGGCACAGGCTGAAGGCAGCTGGAGGTGGGGTTTGGGGTGAGATAAGAGCTGACAATACTTTACAACAAGACTGTGAGGGCCCAGTACTGGAACAGTGTGTGGAATTTTTAAACCGATAACTGCTTCTCTATAGGTAATGTACAATGTGACCAGCTTCATTGACAAGAATAATGACCTACTCTTCCGAGACTTGTCCCAGGCCATGTGGAAGGCCCAGCACCCTCTCCTTCGGTCCTTGTTCCCTGAGGGCAATCCCAAACAGGCATCCCTCAAACGCCCCCCAACTGCTGGGTCCCAGTTCAAGAATTCTGTGGCAATTCTCATGAAGAACCTGTATTCCAAGAACCCCAATTACATCAGGTGACAAGTTGGGCACACAGGGGAACATGCTTCATAGGTGATGACATGTGCAGGCTCCATGCAGTGCAGAACATGTCCGTGGGGGATGTCTCTGGAACAGGGTGTCAGAGATCCTTTCTTCATGGAAGACAGAGCCAGATGAGAAGCTGAATGGCTTGTAGGTGGAGAGGATAGTATCAGAGTAGTGAGTGAAACTGGGAAGATGAGTGGTTCACTTTCACTGAAATTTTCAGCTAAGGAGACTGTGTGCAGAATAGTTGTGTGGAGACCAGGATAGTCCCCACCAGCAGTTGTATCTGCTCCTGAATCCTGTACTTTACTCCATTTCCTACCAGGTGCATAAAGCCCAATGAGCATCAGCAGCAAGGTCGGTTCTCCTCAGAGCTGGTGGCAGTGCAGGCACGGTACCTGGGACTGCTGGAGAATGTGCGGGTGCGAAGGGCAGGCTATGCCTACCGGCAGGGCTACAAGTCTTTCCTGGAAAGGTACCGACTGCTGAGCCGGAGCACCTGGCCTCACTGGAATGGAGGAGACAGGTAAGACACTGTGGGGAGACTAGGAAGCAGTGAAGGGCAGCACAGAGAACATCTCTGGGGAAGGCTTCTGGAGGCGCCAGCCATATCTCCTGAAGCTGGTGGATGGATACTGGCGGAAACGAAAGATCTCTTCCCAGAGGCTGAAAGGGTTAGGGGGCAACGTGGAAGAGGACTCTTCTGAGATGTCCCTCTACAGCTTTCCCCCATTTGCTTCTGTAGGGAGGGAGTTGAGAAGTTGCTGGGGGAGTTGAGCATGTCGTCAGAGGAGCTGGCCTTTGGGAACACAAAGATTTTCATCAGAAGCCCCAAGACTGTGAGTTAGAAAGTGCTGTTGCATTTTGTGAGGGTGGAAGGTGGAGGATTCAAAATCCCACTTAAGAAAGGCTGGAGGGAAGGTGATACCCATAACCTGGAATGGACAGTGGCTCAGGAGGTCTGCAGGAGACCTATCCTTGGGAACTGAATCCTCATGAGTGTTACCCTGCCCTGAGTTTTGGGAGCTGGATGTGCAGCCTGGCCTTCTCTGAGGGCCTCTGCCTGAAGCAGAGCTCCTTGAGGGCTGGGAAGCCTGTGGTCCTGTGGGGTCCAGGAGGACAGCACTTTTCCCTAGGCCAGCCCCTCTGCCCCACCCTTTTCTTCCCCCACAGCTTTTCTATCTGGAAGAGCAGAGGCGCCTGAGGCTCCAGCAGCTGGCCACCCTCATACAGAAGACTTACCGGGGTTGGCGCTGCCGAACCCACTACCAGCTGATGCGGAAGAGTCAGATCCTCATATCAGCTTGGTTTCGGGGCAACAAGGTACAGTTGCTTCCCAAATTCCAACCCTTTCATTAGCGTGGGAGAGGTGATTGAGGATGTGGATTTTTCTCACAGTACTAATGTTTTCTACAGCAAAAGAAACACTATGGGAGGATGAAGGCATCAGCTTTGTTGATCCAGGCTTTCGTGAGAGGGTGGAAGGTAAGGGGGAGGTAGAAGGGATCCTCTCTGCACGTGACTCCCCCTCCCCTGGATTGAGCCAGCTTCTGGGGAGAAGGAACCCCAAGGGCGGGTCTGTGGCACCCAGGCATTCCTCCCACGCTGGCCTGTGTGAGAGGGTGTCCAGGAGATCTGTACGTGTGTCAGAGCAGCAGGGCTCTGCCTTCTGCGGTAGGTGTCCCTACCGCCTCCTGTCTGACTTCACACCCATCCACCCCTACGGTTTCAGCTCTTTATCTTGCTCTCTTCCTTTATGGTTGAAAAAATAACCTCTTCCAGAATCTGTCTTCACTTTGGCTTTTTTCTTGTATATCTCCACTAGGCTCGCAAGAATTATCGAAAATACTTCCGGTCAGGAGCTGCCCTCACCTTGTCAAATTTCATCTATAAGAGCATAGTAAGTGCTGAGTGTTAGGGTGGAAGTGGAGGGTGGAAGAGGTTGGGGCAGATTTGGAAGAGGAAGAGGTGACTCAAGCTTTCCCCAAGAGCTTCCTCAGCTTGTGTGTACCTGAGTCCTAGAAGAAGACTGGATGGAGCAGCAGCCTGGGGAGTGGCCCCAGCTGCCTCAGGCCCAGGGCAGAATCAGACAGCATTTTGGCTTGAGTGGATACTGCTGGAAGCCTGTAGCAGAAAGGGTCCCAGTACGTCTGCCATCTGGTCCATGGGATAATGGGTTGGAGGAATGACTGGGATATCAGGACAGGGTGAGGACACACAGAGGGTTAACTGGCCCAACCTTCCAAGATCTACTTTGGGGTTAGGGTAAAGGAATTCTCATCTTCCTTCTATGCCCTCTGAATCCATATCAGGCAAGTCAGAAAATGAATCTCAGGAAGGATCTCTCTCAATTCTGGAGGACTTGGGTCAGGATGGGCAGGAAGAAGCCAGGCCCTGGGTCACATTCAAACTGTGAGCAGGGGGGGCTGGGGTTGTGGCTCAGTGGTAGAGCCCTTGCCTAGGATGTGTGAGGCAGCACTGGGTTCAATCCTCAGCACCACATATAAATAAATAAAGGTCCATCAACAGCTAATAAAATATTAAAAAACAAAACAAAACTGTGAGCAGTTTCCAGGGAGGAAAATGGTACAGAGAAGTGTGATTTCTGGAGTCACCTGTCAGATAGCAGTGGTGCTTCTGAAGGTGTCTGAAAGGAAGCCAGGGAGAAAGCAGCACTTTAGTGAAGCCCTGGGAAAGGCCAGAGAGGGGAAGGAGGAGAGGAGATTGGCCAGAGGACTGCAGTAATTATAACTGACTTCCATCAGTGAGATTTTGGACAGTTGTTAGGACCCTTACTACTCATTGGAGTCTCTCTTTGTTGTCAGAGAGGCTGGGACCCTCTGCTGAGGAGGGGAGCTGGTGTTCCGAGGCTCAGGGCCTCCGGGTTGTCTCCCCAGTCTTGATTCCTCCCACCTCCTGGGGAAATTCTTTCCTCCCTGGCCTTTTCCTCACCTGGCCTCCTCTCCTGCTGGCTCCAGTGTGTCTGCACCTCTAGAGTATGTGCTTTCTTGCTCCATACCTGAGACCTGTAATCTGATTTTGCTCCTATCTCCTGACTGGCCCTTGCACTTTCTTTCACCTGTATTTTATCAGGCAGCTGTTGAGTGTCAACCCAGGAGCTGCTGGGTTCAGATTTCAATAAATCACACCCCACCATAGAAGCATGTAGGGACTCTAGGCATTATTCCTCCAGTGTTTCCCCACTATTCCATAGTTTGCCAAGGCCTTGATGATAACTAAGGCTAGTCTATGTGCCCATTATATTTTAAACACTTACTATGTGGTAAGCTCTTTACATGCTTAACTTCTTTTTTTTTTTTTTTCCCTATTTGGGGTTGGGGATTGAATCCATGGCCTCATGATAGGCAAGCTAGTTCTCTACCACTGAGCTATAGCTATATCCCCAGCCCATATGCTTAACTTTTAAGGTTTTTCAGTAGTCCTATGAAGTAGTCTCTTTTCTTTCCTCCATTTTATAGGTTAAAAACAAAAACAAAACAAAAAACCCCTAAGACTCAGGGGTCTCATAGCTGGTAAATGATAGAGCTGGGATATAAATATTTGCCTCCAAGGCTTTTAACCACTGCCTAAGACTGTGTGACAATAACATAGGCCTGGGAAACTCATGGCCCTTGGCGGAAGAGGTAGGAGACTGCATAGGGAAGGGCAGAACTCTCTAAATATAGACAAAACAAGCAATAAGAATAAAGTTTTCAGATGTTCCACACTGATTGGAACAAAGGAGATTATGAGAGATGCTTAGAAATGTTTCTTGAATTAAATCAAACCAGAGCAAGAACTGGGTACTCCAGAGTAACTAGAGGCCTTGCCAGGTTCAGGTCCTGTGGCCCAAGCCAGCTTATGAGAAGAGACTTGGGCAGTTCTTGCAGAATGACAGCAATACACCACGTGCTCTGCCTTTGTCTATTGTAATTTTTATAATTTTTAAACCTCACGTCTTAGTAAAACATTTTCATAAAAATTCCAATCATTTTGCAATACCCAAGATCAAGTTATTTTCCCTATCTTCAATAAGTCTATGCCATAAACAAACAGGGTGCTAGGTGTTCTCTGGGCAGTAAAAACTGAACAGTCCTTGTTCTAAATTATAGAGGCTAAACAGTAAGATATCATGCATCAAATCTGATTGCATCTTAGAACAGGAAAAATAAAAATGGAGCTAAAAAGGACATGTTTAGAAGCTTATAAAGGACATATGGAGACATTTGAGCCTAGATGGCTGTTAGATGAGTGTTTCTAATGAATGTGGATTTTCTTAGGTGTGATAGAATTATGGTTGTGCAAGAGTATCCCTGCTCTTTGGAGATGCATGATGAAGTTCTAGGGGAGAAATGTCATGATATCTGTAACCTACGAAGGATAGTGGGGTAGCAAGGATTTGTGTCTATGTGAGTATGTATGTGTGTGCTAGTATACATAAGAAAGAGCATACAGTGAGGGCAGAATGTTAACATTATTAGTTGGGGAATTAGGTAAGGGGTACACAGTATACATGTGTTCATTTTTATTTATTTATTTATTTATTTATTTTAAAGAGAGAGTGAGAGAGGAGAGAGAGTGAGAGTGAGAGAGAATTTTTAATATTTATTTTATTTAGTTCTCGGCGGACACAACATCTTTGTTGGTATGTGGTGCTGAGGATCGAACCCGGGCCGCA